ACCTGAGGGCCGCTGGCCTGCCTGCTCAGCCCTCTGCTGTGATTGCAGTTTGAGGAAGACTCTGTGGGGCTGCTGGACAGGGAGCTGCCTCAGTTTGGGGCTGGTTCCTATGGGTAACGTCAACATAGTTGAGGATGTTGTGGTTGGTGTGGTAGGCTTAATTGAGGTAATTGAGGTAACTTACTTCATTGGGGTGGCTAATTAATTGTAAAAATAGTATAAAATAGTATATAACCTAACAACTAGCATATAAATCAGGCTTCCAATTTGTTCACTTACAACATGGGCTACTTCCCATTCTGAGGCAAAACCACTCATATTTATGCCCAGAAATGACCCTTTTTATCAAAGCAATCAAGAAATCAAGCTAGTAACAATTACTCTTGAGCAGGAGAAGGCAGGAACCTTGAAAGATGTGTCCTGTGTTCAATAATAGTCTTTTTTGTGTGGGACTGAATTACAGTCACCCAGCCTAAACTTACTTTTTAATTTTAATATGTTGCTGCATGTATTTTTTTAATTAAAAAATAAATCTGACCAACTACATAAATTTTGCCAAGATTACCAAATGTAACATATCAATTTAATTACACCATCACTATAACCTGGCATTGAATGTAAAAATCTCAATTTCAAAGGATTTTAAAATTCTAAGTTAGTCATAGAAATAATAAAATGTAGATGATAGTATTGGTTAGTGTGTTGGTCCATTGGGTTTCCATGGTAAAGTATTATAGATTCCGTGACTTGTAAACAATAAAAAGTTCTTTCCCACAGTTCTGGAGGCTGAGTAGTTCAAGATAAAGGCTCAGACAGATTTGCTGTCTGGTGAAAACTCACTTCCTGGTCCTTAGTCATCTTCCAGCTGAGCCCTCACATGGTGAAAGAGAAGAGGGTTATCTCGAGAGTCCTCCTTATAAGGGTACTGGTCCCATTCATGAGGGCTCCATTCTCATGACCTAATCCCAACCCAAAGGATCCACCTCCCAATATCATCATATTAAGGATTCACTTTCAATATATGAATTTGGGGAGGATCCAGATGTCCACACTATAACAATTAGGCAACAATATTTTGTTTCATTCTCAATTGTTTAATAGACATGGAGACTTTATGGCTTTTACTTGGAAAAACAAGTCTTTGGGAAGTATCTTAATCAATATATATTGACTTAAATAAACAGGTTTCCCTACTTGCCTACCATCTTCAGTTATTTCCTTTCATATTTTTCTTGGTAGATGCAATAAAAATAAAGCCATTTCTTCTACTGAACATTATTAAAGCAATTTAATTCCCTGATAAACTCTACCAGAGAACTGGAGAAATAGTTATAGAGGGTCTAACATTTGAATTTTGGGTTTACCATAAACTATGTTGGATTTCCTAATGTCTACTTCAATATAAATCATAATAGCACTAATGCATCTTGTTGTGTAGATATAAAGAATTAGTGCATATACAACAACTCACAAAATAACTGATGCTTGGCAGGTGATCTACAACTGTTATACCCCTGTTAGAGTTCCATTTAAATCCTACTTCAGGGGCCTCCCTGGTGGCACAGGCAGTTGAGCACCACACTGTGAGGCAGTCTGCAGCCTCTGCAGCACGGGTTCAATCCCGGCCAGCCAGCGAGAATCCCACATGGTGTGGCAGACCTCTCCTGTCTCTCGCCCGCTCCTCCCCTCAGCAATGTATTTCATTAGTCTGCCTGTTCTGTTCCCCACTCTGTCTCTGGTGAATCCTCTCACCCTTCCGTGCATCTGGCCTGTACCTGGTTCTTGTATAAATAAATAAAATCTTAAAAAAAAAAAAAACTATAAATCCCACTTTACCTTCTCTTCTAACTTCCTTCACATACATGTTTTTATACACTGTGAAACATTGTAATTAAATTAGCATTGAAAACTGTCATTGAAATTTGGGACATGTTCAGAATTCTCATCTCATTTTTGATCTTCCTTTTTCTCATAAATATTATTAAAATGTGTTTTGTCTCTATAATAATAGTCATTTCCAGTTTTTGTATTTATAGTATTTCCTCTATCTTTATTCCTCTTCTCCCTTCTGTCCATTAGCCTCCCTGTCTTTTAGCTCTTCCATGTCAATCAAATGTACTCTTCTGTTTGTATTCACAGTTGATCCTTGACACAGCAGTTCCTTCTTGTATATGGTCCATTTCTTTCCTATCCTTTCCCTCCTCAGTCCTCTATAATGTGTTTCCATACCCCTTCCTTACCATTACAGATGGCCCCACCAAAACCATTGTGCAAATGACTCCTTTCTTTATTTTCCTTGAATTTTAAATTGTAGCAGCTTTGATTTCTCCATTGTCTCCTAAAATAGAGTTTATGGCCCTTTTGTCCCTGGCTCAGTTCATGATGGTCATCAGTGATCCATCTGCAAGTCTTTCTCTTTTGGTCTTCATACTGTCCTTAGGCAATTCATTCACTTAGCACACTGAATTACTCCAGCAAAAACCTTTCCACTGATCACTGAACTAGAACAAACCCCAGGTCCTACTGTAAACCTTAGGGACACTCTATACTCCAGGTGAAACTGAAATTGACCTCATCACTTTTCTCTTCAACTCTCTACTCTTATTTCCTATTAATAACCTCACCATTACTGAAAACAGAAGACTAAAGGTCTTGCAGTACTTTCTCCACAACCTTAAAATCTACCTACATTGATTTGAATGCATTAGTATACTTAACTTTTTTTTTGAGACCCATCCCTCTCCTCCCCCATGTCTGCATAGTTCATTCTCTCAGCATTATTCAGTGATCTGTAACAGTGCAGTCAGTGGGCAATGATTGTTTGCCATTCTTTCAATCTTTTCCCCTTTCTCTAACAGCTGCCCTTTGTTTTTTACTTAAGAACATACCACCTTCTATCCTCATTCTATCTTGCCTGTGTAGAGTTTCAACTGTATTTTAGGGTTGAGACTAATGATTTTTTTTCCTAGGCCAAACAACATCCCTCTCTCTTGGGCTGGACCCATAACCTAAGCAAGTGTGATAAGCTAAATGTCTGGACTGTGACATGGAACAGTCAAAAAAGAAGTTACCTCTGCCTATTAGACTTAAGTCTGCAAAGACAGGACTGGGATTAGCAGTCATTGTGCTACTATGAAATTAACAAAATGAGCATCAAGAAGGAAAACTAAGAAGAAACTATTGATAATGTTAAAATTTTCATTAAAAGGACCAATGTGTTTACTTTATTTTTCATTAAGCACATTTGGATTGTTCAGTAGTAGTAGTGGTAGTAGTATTAGTAGTAGTAGTAGTAGTAGTAGTAGTAGTAGTAGTAGTAGTAGTGTTAGGTAGACTAAGGAGCATTCCAGGACCTCCAAATCTGTCTGATGTCCATAGGTTCTGCCATCTGTCACATAAAGACAAAACATACCCTAGTGCATAAGACCTTCAATAGAAAATAACTTTAATAAAATTAGTATACAGAGTCTAAAGAGGAGAGGAGAGGGGAGGAGAAAAAAATTATAGTTAAAATAGCTTCCAATTAAACACCCAAAGTTACTCAACCCCTCACAGATAAATGCCCAGCCAAACAGGGCTGACCTAAAGTGGTACCACTGAGGCCCATAAGTTTGCCACAAGTATTAGGCACCTTCTGGTGGGGAACTACAGGAAAGTGGCAGAATAGGCCAAGGAAGAATGGAAGGAAAGGAGCAAAAAAAAAAAAAAAATGCAAGTCATTATAAAGGCTGCCATTGTCAGCCTCCTGACATATCTCTGACCTACGTCTCTGACACTTTCAAGTGTCTCCTCCCAAGTCTCCCAAGTCCCTGTCACAAGTCCAAGGCCAAGAAGCAAATGTAATATCTCCTTCACATGTCTCTTCTCCATGTTGCTCCTTCAAGCCTTCTCTTCATCCCCTCCTTTTTTTTTTTCCTTTCCCCAGTCTTGTCTAGATTCTCCTGATGGGTCAGGTCCACCTACCCTTGTGTAGAGTAGGGAATCTGGAATCACCATTTTCTATGGATACCACATTGTTACAGTAGTAGTAGTAGTAGCAGTAGTAGTAGTAGGGGAAGTGATAGTTGTGGTAGTAGTAGTAGTAACTCCCTAAAATGTGCTTAATTATTTCTTAACTATCCATTGTTCTTGTCAGTCCATTTCTACATTCATGGAGTCTAAGGCAAAAATTCATATGAAAACTTATAAAACATTATGTCTAAAAATTTAAAAAAATTAAGTTACTGTATAAGCTGTTAAATAAAATTTCACCCATCTCTGTCAAATACACATTTTAAGGACATTAAAAAACGTTATAAAGGTCTATTGTTTAAATAGCAGAAAATAAATTAAATTCCAAAGATAGAATTTATTAGTCTGAATTTCTGGTTGTTCTGTGTTAAACTCCCAAATGTTTATGGTTAATAAGATAAATACATATCAATTAATAATTATTACTTATTTTTCACTTTAAAATTTTAGCTAAATTACTAAGTTATCATGATTTCTATATAATTTTAATTTTAAAGGAGGAAAAGTAAAATATCAACACATTTGTCTCATAGTAACTTTGTATATAATTTTATAAAATTCTTAAAAAGGAAATGTGGAAGTTAAATTTTCTGTTTTCCAAAATGTTTTATTCTTAAGAGTCAAAATAATCCATTAAAATTAAAAGTCAAATATAAAGCATGGGGCCTCCCTGGTGGCGTAAGTGGTTAAGACGCAACCTATGAAGCTGTCCACAGCCATTGCAACATGAGTTCGATCCCCAGCCAGGGAGCTACCCACATGGTGCAGCTGACCTCTCCTGACTCGCACACTGCTACCCTGAGCAGAGTATTTCAGTCATTCCTCCTGTTCTATTTTCCACTCTGTCTCTGGTGAATCCTCTCATGCCCCCACACCTCCGGCCTGTACCCTGGTTCTTGTATGCATAAATTAATAAATCTTTTTATAAAAAACATAATTACTATGTGTAAGCTCAATTTTTTAAATACAAAAATTGTAATTGTACTCACTCAACCCAAATGTAAAGAAGTGACTCCATGCATCACCATATTACATCTGGACCTACATATTTAAAAAGTTAAGCATGAATTAACAATACTGAAACATATTCCTCAGCCATCTAACAACTGTTGCAAATACTGTACCAATTCATGAATATCTGTGGAACTACAAATTAGAACATGGAAATGGAAGCTTGACATTCTTGGAAAATGATACTTAGTACAAAAATTTATTGTGTGCATGTTATCTGAGAGGAAGAATTTGACAAGTTAATTAATTTATCTTTCCTCGTACCAAATGCTTGCAAGTCTCATGCTGTCTACTCTCTGAAGCACTGCTCTCTGTGGCATCAGCAGGAGCCGAGCCCTCACATCTTTATGACATCCAGATGCAATTGTCTTTTCTTTCAAGGACAGAAGGAAAGAGAGGTGGAAAAGGATTTCCTTGAGGCCAGAATGGTGTGAATAACAATGTGGACTTTCAGGACGGTGTATAACTGCCCCACTGCCGAGTGTCGGAGATGCATTGATCTGTAATTTATTTATCAGTTTTGTATTTCTGATTCATGAAGTCATCCGAATTGTGGGTGCCTCATGCCCAGGTCTAAGGCTATCATCTAGTCCTGTCTAAGTGCACCCCATTCTTCACAAAATAAAACTTCAAAGATTATGTTCTCCATTGTTTAGGTGAGGAAAATATATATTTAAATGATATTCAAATCTAAGGCCGTGGTCGAAATATCATGAACTTCTCTTGGTTTGGTTTTCACCACATGCAGGTCCTGCATTGACCCCTTTTGTTTATGTGCCTCTTTCTGCAATGCTCCCTCTCTTTATAAGTGCCAGAGTCAAGATATGTACACAAAAGCCTAAATTCAGGACCTTTGTTCTCAATCACTATGCTCTAGCATATGCCTTTACCCATGTATTTTGCTATTATGCCTTATATTGCTTCACTTGCCTTCCCAAGAGTATTTAGTGACTCCTATGAGCTTAGCGGGCATGTTTATGCACAATTATATGGCACCACTTAAGGAACATGATCTTAAATGCATTATGTTCAAGCGTATTTATAATTAACTAGATTGTACGCTCCTTGAAGGCAGAAATTATCTTACATTTCTTGATAAACCCCTTATTGCTAATCCCATTGTGGAATTTACGTTATGATCCTAGTAAGTCCGCTTTTATTTTAAACACTACCTGAAGTTGAGACATGCTTTTTTTTCAATGAGTTATTTGTTTTCCCTTTCTAATTAATTTGCTGAAATTTCCATCTAGAACATCATGTCTGTGTAATTTATCATAGGACCATTCCTCTTCTCCACTGGGGACACCTTCTCCTTGTTCTACATCTGTGTGTGCTTGGGGTGGACACCTGGTGGAAGGTCTGTTCACACACATGCAGATGGGTGCTGGGAGCACACCGCCCCCTCGTGAAAACTGGCTTGCCACTGAGAGAAATACCTTATGTCCTCTAATCCAAAGCCATTCTGCATGTTTTCCTTACCAGGATTTAAAGAACATACTCTGTTCCCATCCAACTGTGAGAAGTTTCATTTCAAAATAAAATATGTCACAATAGCAAAGAAACAAAAGTGGAATGATTCCCTTTGTTATTATTAGTCAACATATTTCACTTTACAGCATCTATACACAGTACAAACCCTTCAAAAATATTCTTAATAAAAAGATCAACCACATTTTTATCTGAGATTGTGAATCATTTAGGAAAAAATGTCCTTTCAGGTAGAACTATGTCCAAAGACAGTTTTCTCACTGAAACTATCAAATGTCAAAATTCTCTTTTCTTCTGCATGAAAATATTGCTTTTCTAAAACAGCACTGACAAACCCGTAGATGGGACGGATACACCACTCGTTGTTAGGAATTTAAGGAACTTATAATTGGTTCTTGCTGGAATTTTCTTTTTCAGCAAGGGTGTTTTTGTTAATTTATTAAAAAGCAAACAAACAAACAACATTGTGTTCTGGTTATGAATTAGTCATCTTGTCTGGTAGTTATGCAAAGAGGGGATAGACTGTTGAATATCCAGTAGAACTAATAATCTCTGTTAAAATGCAAATGCTGTCTAAACAAGCTAACACATTAAACCACTTATCCACAAATGTTTTGTCAAATCACTAGTCAGTCACCCAGCAGGACATTGACCTGATGGGATGGAACTTGATATAATTAATTGTGAGTGAGAAATAACAGAGATCTAGACTTCTGCCTATGGGATGATGCCTGAATGAAATTTTCACAAGACTGTTTGGTAGATCATGTGGGTGTGTCAAAGAAATTAAGTAAACAACACAGTAAATTCAGAAGTTTACAAAGCATATTGTTTCAATTTGCTTTTTATCCTATAACTAACAGGATAATGACAATATCTAAATACTTAGGGGCTTAATATTGTTCTCCTACTAAGGTTAATCTGGTCAAGAAAATTTTTGGCCATATATGTTTAAACAGAGTAGAACATGGGCTAGATATTGTTTTAATAAAATCATGATACAAATAAGGTTAAAATCTTTACAAATTATATTTGTGTTTCAGATTAGGATAAAGAGGAAGGCTGCCATAGTTCAAGAAGACCTAGGTCCCATACAATTTTTCTAAAGAATGGGGGATAGGGCCTCCCTGGTGGTACAGGAGTTAAAGGCTCAGCACTATCAAGCTATCACCAGCCACTGCAGCTTGAGTTTGATCCCAGCCAGGGAGCTGACGCACATGGCACAGCAGACCTCTCCTGTCTCACCCACTGATCCCCTCAGCAGTGTATTTCAGTAGATCTGCCTGTTCTGCTGCCCACTCTGTCTCTGGTGAATCCCCTCACCATCCCCTAACCCCCACCACACACACACACACACACACACACATGAACATACAAACCGCTGGCATAGACCCCAGTTCCTGTATGCATAAATAAATAAAGCAAATTTAAAACAAAATAAAGCAAATTTAAAACAAAAAAAGGGGTGGCATATATGTATGCTATTTGTGGCACCTGAGTATCTTGAGGAAGAGTCATTAATAAGCTCTCAATAAAATTAGAAGTTTTTACAGAGTAACTCAATATATTACCTATAATAATTCTTTTTTTTCTGATCTAAAGAAAATTCAGTGACACATTGCAATTTATGGGGTCAGTTTGGCAGTTATCTCTACTTTGACAAAGACCCTGCCTCTTCTAGAATCTCTGAATATGTCATCTTGAAAAAACTGTAAAATATAGAGTTGATTCATTTTTCATAGTATTTCAGGCAATAGGATGTTCAAGTCAATACAATGGATAATGTTTATAAAATGCAAATCACTTCTCCCTGAATTTATGATAAAAAAGATATATCCATATAAGTTTTTTTTATTATTAGGGTATTGATAGGCATTATACATAATAAATATACATTTGTAATATATTCCATATATAATGTATTTAGAAATATTTATTTATATAAATAAGACATCATTTTATAGCAATATAAGTGAACACAGTTACCCTTTGAGAAAACAGATTCATTTTGAAGGAAAAAAGCTATGTGGAGGTGGAAATATATAGAAATAGACATATCATTTTTAAAGAATAAAGTATTTTAACAATAAAAACACGGTATTAGAAATTAGTATACAAAAATGAATGTAACCTCTGTCTTTTTCTATTTTCCTTCACTTTCCATGTTTGCTGTAATAAGAACATACTACTTTTATTTTAGAAAAGATGATTTTTATTAAAAGATGAGTGAAGAATATGTCATTGGAAAGAAATTGGTCAAGTCTACCCAGTTCCCCCTCTTGGCACACAACTGTGTTCAGGGCCATCACTGCTGCATGTAACTACCATGCAGTAAAAGATCCTTTAAATATAATCCAGTGGGGCCTCCCCAGTGATGCAGCGGTTGAGCACTGGGTTGCCAAGCTGCCCGCAGCCTCTGCAGCACTGGTTCGATCCCTGGCCACCAGGTGAGGGTCCCACATGGCGCGCAGACCTCTCCTGCTGCTCCCCTCAGCAGTGTACTTCATCAGTCTGCCTGTTCTGTTCTCCGCTCTGGCTCTGGAGAATTCTCTCAACCTCCCGTGCTTCTGACTGTACCCAGTGCTTGTATAAATAAAAATAAATCTTTTAAATAAATAAATAAATAAATAAATAAATAAATAAATAAATAAATAAAATCCAATGCATATTTAGGAACCAAGCATATTTAATTGAAGGTCCTACCAGTTGTCTATTTTAATGAGTTGCCAGATAAAGTTGATACAAAAAAAAATCAGTGGATTTTCTGTGCTTTGAAACCTTTAAATAATTTGGAGAAAGAGAAGGGGAAGTGGGATTGGAGAAACGGTTGAGCAATATCATAGATATGAGTTTTACGTCCTGACTTCAGCAAAGCTTTTCCTGTTATTTCAGTCGTTTGTCTTCTCACAAGTTTGATGTTTGTCCAGATGAGAACAGTATTGTTATCAAAGTCGACCCATACTCCTTCACTTAACATGCTTTTAATTTTGAAAATTTAGTTTACATCCCACTTCTATTTTCATCATAATTTTACATTAAGTGTTTCTAAAATATGTGATACTGATTTTATGATAGATTGCCTTGGATAGTTATATTGTGAATTTGCCCAAATGTTATCAAATTTAAATAATAATTTTAAGGATGATATTGATTAATTATAGATTATATTTGCCACATTTTAAATGCTTATTATCTTTATCAACCCCTGCAACCAGAAAGGACTGAGTCTACTTTAAAAAATGAATGTCACTAATTCCTACAAATTATCCTGAATGGTGAAGTATTTATTTTGAAAGTTAAAATCATTCAACTAAATTTACTATATCCAAATTGTCTTTGTTGTCTAAAGTGAGCTCAGGATTTCACTAATTTTTCATCCTCGTGATATGTTATTGGGTTACTCTCTTCTTAAACTGGTAGTAGTTAGAGAAAAAATTGTGAGATGATTTCCAACCAAAAACCTCAGAATATGTTTTGATATATGAGTTGCTATTTGGTTAAAAATCTAAAATAAGGCAAGGAAATATAAGATTGTCATTGAC